TTTCTATGGAATACTTAAAAATTTTTAAGTGTAGGAATGCCAAATGTTTTTGACTATATATCTTTGCGTGGTTTTTCTAGTGGTTGCTATGTGATTTACAATATACATTTAGACTTATAATAATCTCTGGTATCAACACTTTTAATGAAGTTTGGAAACTTCACTTCCACTTAGATCATTTTGCCTGCCCAACTTTCAAGTTTTACTGTCCTGGTCATCAGGTATCAGGTATTGTTTTGTTTCAATTATCAAATGTTATTTATAAAACTGATGAAGAAAGGATAGCCTATTGTAGGCACCCATTTTTCTGTTCTTTCTGTTCTTCCTATCCCTTCCTAATGTTTCGCGATCTCTTTCATTATCATTTCTTTTCTGTACCAGAACTTTCTTTAGCCAATCACTAAGGATACGTCTGCTAATGAAAAACTCTTGTTGTTTGCTTTCTTTAGAGAAAGTTGTTTGTACCTCATTTATTACTGAAGAGTTTCACCAGTAATAGAATTTGCAACAGATTTCTTTTTTTCAGCACTTGAAAAATATCAGGTTATTTTTATTTCCTTGGCCTCCATGGTTTTGTATGAAAAATCTACCACTTGAATCTGTGTCCTTCTCTGGATAATGTGTTGCTTGTCTCTGACTGCTTTCAAGGTTTTTCTTTGTCTTTAGTTTTCAAAAGTTTAATTATCTTTGGCAAGGATTTCTTTCAGTTTATCTTGTTTTGTGTTTACTCAACTTTTTGGGTTTATGGATTGTGTCTTTCACCAGATTTGGAGATTTTACTTTTATTTCTCCAAATACTCTGCAGGTCAGTCCCACCCACTTTTACCTTCCATGATAATATGAACTTTGACCCTTATGATTTTATACCACTTGTCCTTGAGGCTCTATTTATTTATTTTTTCCATTCTATTTGCTCTCTGATATTTAGATTAAGTGAATCCAGTTGTTTTGTCCTCAAGATAATTGAATATATATTTGGTCATTTCTCCTATGTTGTTAAGCACATTCAATGAGTTTTATTCCTATATTGTATTTTTCAGTTTTAAAATTTCCATTTGGCTAATTAAAAAAATAACAATTTCTACTTCTTTATTGAGGTTTCCTATTTTTCATTTGTTTAAAGAAAACTTGTACAGGGTTGTTCAAAGATTTCATGGCTACTTAAAATTTCAGTATTTGATAATTCCAATACTTGATTCATCTTAATGTCCATGTTGTTAACTTTTTTTTTTTCAGTCCTCACCTGGGATATTTTTCCCATTGCTTTTCAGAGAAAGTGGAAGGGAGAGAGAGAAAAAAAAACATTGATGTGAGAGAGACACATCAATTGGTTGCCTTACACAAGTGCCCTGACCAGGCCGGGGCCAGGATCAAGCCTGCAACCTAGGTGCATGCCCTTGACTGGAATCGAACCCTGGAATCAGTCCTAGGGGTGACAGTCTAACAGCTGAGCCAAATCAGCTAGGGCTGATTGTCTTTTCTTAAAGTTATTTTCTTGTATCTTGGTATGATAGCTAATTTTCTATTTATCTTGGATGTTTTCTCTGTTGTGTGAGGAGACTCTGATCTTATACGAATCTTTTATTTTAGCAGTAGTCATCTCTTTAGGCTTAACATGTGGGTGCTGGTCGGCTCCATGGTCTCTGGTTCCAACGGCAGTTTGATTTTCAGAATCTTTGTTGTTGTATTTTGCTCTACTTGGTTAATCTGGCATCTCTGGGGCTCCCATTGGTCCCTGTTGATGCTGCCTGAATGGGCAGAAGAGCTTTCCCCAAGCCAGGCAGTGGGATGTGTTTCAGTGAAGGAGCAAGTGTGACAGGGCCAAACCTCCCCCACCACCAGTCTCCTACTGCTCTAATGTTTCTGAGAAGTAGAGGAGAGTTTTACCAACAAAGACTAAGAGGATTCCTAAACCAGGCCTCTTTTTTGGGCTGGTTCTCTCTTGTCGGCTCCATCTGATCCTGTTACACTTCAGCATCTCCGAGAGGAAAGAGGGAGCTCTCAACCCCAAGGGAGAGTGCCTCCACTGACAGTCTACTTCTGGCAGGGGTCCTGAATAATCCCCTTTGTTGGTGGTGGTGTCCAGCTCATCTGAACCTGTCAGAACTCCCTTCTATTTGGGGAGGAATGAGCTGCTTTTGTTGCTAGGCCAGGATACGCTGGGTCTGCAAGTCCTTTCTCTGTTGAGGGGCGAGAGGGAGGCAAGACGCCCTTTGATTGTACTGTTCTTCTCAGCCCCAATTACATCAACTCTTTTTACTGCCTCTCAGAGTTCTACTGTGGTTGTCTCTTGACCCTTTTAGGGTTTCTAGTTGTGTCCCTCTAGAGAGGGACAGGAAAAACAGGTCTACATTATCTTGTCTTTATCAGAAATACCTGGATATCATTTTAATAAATTGAGAACCAAGAGGACACATCTCACATTCAGTGTGTAAGTGTGTATAATGTAAAGACGTCTATCACAATAAGATTTTCTGTGTTAGAAAAACATGTTTATATGTTGTATGTATAGGATATTAATTCTGAGATAGATTTGTTAAGCCTTCGACATCCTGAAAGCTCTCCGTGGTTTAAAAATAACTTTGATTTGCAGATTTCCAGATACGATGATGATGTGGCCTCTGGTGCTTAGGCCTCCCCCTCAGGCCTCTCCAGATTATATTTGAACTTCACAACAACAAAAATGCCAAACACACAGAGAAGAGGAGCCTGTGTGATTACTCTGCTCAGGGAGCGTTGTCACCCTCATGCCAGGACTTACGGAATGTCAGTGATATGGGACAGTGGTGAGACAGGAATGAAAGAAGAATGAAGGGTAACTTCTAGTCGAGAACAGCAAGTCTGGAAATGTGGAGAAGGGAGACAAAGCCTCACCAACAGCCACCCTAAGTTGGAGGGTGAGACGGAGCCGAGGGCAGGCAGATAGAATGAAGAAATGAGGTAAGGGGGGTGCTGGATGCAGAGCCACTGGTCACAAGGCTTTGGGTCACCTGGTAAACCCCAGTTCTTTATGAGCTAGGTTTTCACCAGGGCAAGCAGTGAAAATAGCCCCCAAACTGTGAGCATCACAGGGGACACACCTGATGGCCACATACGCGATTCTGATTTAAGAATGAGCTGACTTGGGAAAAAAGCCTCTGGTTTGATGAAAATCACCTTAATTCAACATGAAAAGTCCAACCCTGAAAACCTGGAAAATCCCTTTATCTGAAAGAGTTATTCTGTAGAATCAAGAAAATAATTAGACTATTTTTTATTTGCATGCATTAATATACAATAAAGAAGATAGAAAACTAGGTTATATACTTATGAAGGAGCAATAATATTGAATTTCTATTCTGTTCATAACATTTCTATTCTATTCCCACCAGTTGATCCAGAAATTAGAAATTAGTGCCAAGAGAGAATAAGAGAGGAGTGTGGGTAGTTATAAAAACATGAGTGAACTTCTTTTTCCAGTGTAGTAAAAATTATGCATATATTCAGAAAATTAAAAGGAATGAAAAATTTCCAATGACAGATAATTAAGAGAACCATATATATTTTTGCTTAAAACATGGTCTCAGTGATCTGTTTGCCTACCCTTTGCTTCATTTAGCTGATTTTAAATGATAACATCAAATGAGGGGTGTTGAAATCACTGTATTTACTTTATAAGAACTTCTGGAAATTTTACACGTACAGCTTTGGCAAGTGTATCTCCAAACATCCCCAAAGAATATCGCGCTAATCCCCTGAACGTTTCTAGGCAGCCTTACAATAGCAGTTTTGAAAACTGGGAAATGTGATTCTGCAGCCACAATGAGGGCCACGTGCTGTCAAAGGGGATGGAAGCGAGTGACGTTCAGGCGGCTTTAGCAGAGACAGTGGGGTGCGTACATCTGGGAAGCATTCCAAACGACAGGTCCTGAAAGAAAGCCGAGCGCTGGCAATGGACCAGGCAGATAAGCGGGCAAGCTCTGTGATTTCATACAACTTACAATTTAGAGCAACTCAAGGGAGAAAACTCCAACAAGGAAATCATGGCAATAATTGAGCTATAATTATTAGCATTTTAAAGAGAACATTAAAATTAAGCTCAATGTGCTGTATCTGTTCTCTTTAAAAATGGGGCACCCTGTGGGAGGAAAGGACTCCGAGTAAAAAGTCATTCCAATTATAATGAAAACAAAGTAATATTGAAAACCTGGAGGACAGGTGAGGTGTGGTAAGGTCATTTCACTTCAATATTTTAATATGATTAGGAAGGTATGGCTATTTCTTGCCTAGAAACGCAGAGCATTCAGAGAGAGTGAGTTATTCAGAATTCTTGGAATGCACTTTGTACGCATCTGTTCAGGCTGCCAGAACAAAATACCATAGCCACGGTGGCCTAATGTCATTTATTCAGACATCATTTATTCCTCACAGCTTGGGGGCTGCAAGTGCAAGATCAAGGTACCAGTCAATTTGCTTTCTGAGGAGAGCTTTCTTCCTGGCTTGCTGATGGTTGTGTCCTCACTGAGCCTTCACACGTTAGAGACAGAAAGGGAGAGAGAGAGAATCTTCTAATACGGTCACAAACCCTACTGAATTAGGAGATCACCCTTATGATTTTATTAAGTGAATTACCTGACATTGGGTGTTGGAACTTTCATACCCATGTTTTAGGGGACACAATTCAACCCACGGCACATGTGAACGGTTTATTTGAGTCCAAGTCCTTAGTGGGTCTGTGGGTCTATAGAACCCAGCATGCCTGGGCTATATCTTGAAGCCCTGTGCTGTATCTCTAACACTTATGTCCACTCTCTTTAGGCCTCTCGACCTTCTTAAAGTGTTAAATATATTGTCCTCTTGGGGCCTCTATACACCGTGCTGCTCTGCCTGCTTACACACTACCTTCAGTGTTTTGCTGACAGTTTTCAATCAGATCTCTGCTCAAATGTATCCGCAATATATATTTTATTGTTTATTTTCATTTGTAGACTGTAAGTTCAATGATGAAACCCTCTGTTTTGTTCTCTGTTTATTGTACATGTTTATTGAATGAATAAAATAATCTTGAATTAAGTCAACAATAAAAGATTTTGGGAACCAACTCTATCTTACTTACATGTCTAGGAGAATCTAAATGTCTTGCCTTTTTCTCATTTGTTTATAAGTAAAAGCTTCATGGACCTGAGAGCAAGATCATGTGGGAGGGCAAGCTCTCGTCTCTCTGGTCCTTCCAGTCTAGTATCCATTCATAAATACACAGCTAATTATTCTTTTAGATATCCAGTGTACTCAGTAACTCATGGGACACACATTTATACACATCTCCAGTTTGGGGCATGCTTTCTCCAAGCATTATGGGATGCTATTATAAAGGAATCTCTCAAAGGGGGCCTCCAGGAGCACAGTCTGATCTCGGGAAATGCAAAATTCAGTTTACCAAACAGTTAAAAAAAGAACACTCAGTGATCTTATTTGTGAAAAGTATAATTTGACTATGGAAGATTAAGTAAGAAATGATTTATTAGAAATCAGATAGTGAAACTGATGATCTACCCCAGCCCTCGGGGATGTTATCAACAATCCTGGTGACAGCAGGAGCAGCAAGCGGGAGCAAGGCAGCAGGCTGACATATCCAGAGAAACCCCTGGCAATGTGCACTAACTGCTGCACTGGAAGAATGGCTCTGTCTTCCCCAGTTTTAACATTCCTTTCTGTACTGCAAGGCCACCAGGCAGACCTGGGGCCATATAGATAGTTGACACTACCCTATTTAAAGTATCAGAATACAGTAAATGTTCTTAATGCTCAAACTAAGAATTCTTTCCTTTATTTATAATCCAAAGCTCATCCTCTTGCCACTTCTTGTTTGTCCATCCTCTCAAAAAACACCTTCCACAATTCCCTAAGAGTTCCTTAAAACGAAAATATGGGCAACCCAACCCAAAGATGCTGTTTGTTTAGTTGCATGCGGCATTTCTTATTACAATATACGTGGCCTGGAAGGGAGTTGTAAATATGCACAATTTGGGCAAGTTTGAACCCAATTTGAACATAATCGTGCAATCTTATTTATCTCACATCTGTCAGCCAGCTATATAAACTCATTTTTACTAGCCAATGTAATTTCAACACAGCATTTAAAATCGCCCAAGTACTTATATCCATATAGTCACCTTGTATAATGTTGCTAACTTTTAAACAAATACATCATCGTTTTAACTTATAAAACATATGTTTTACTAAAAATTAGCATCAATTTCTTTGTCATACATTTTGTTATCCATTTTATAAGGACCTTGCCGAATACATGAGAGGCAAAGAGAACAGACTTGGGATTGACAGGAACCTAAAATGTTCCAGAAGCTTATAGAAGGAAGGAATTGTCACTGCCTGGTGACCTCAATGTTAGCTGCCAGCATACAGTGGTCCCTCGGTTTTTGAATGTGATCCGTTCCGGAAGACTGTTCCAGTTCTGAAACGCTGGAAAACCGAGGGATCCACAGACGACAGCTGGGCCCCAGGATCTTGCCCTCAATGGAAGCCGGGTGGCATGTTCGACTTCCGAAGCATGTTCGAAAACCGAAGCATTTCCTTCTGGGTTTACGGGGTTCCTAACCCGAAATGTTCGTTAAGGGAGACGTTCGAAAACCGAGGCACCACTGTATTTATCAATAGAAATTCTTATCCCTCTCAAAACTATCCCAGTTTGAATGTTAAATTGTGCCGTTGCTCTTGTAATGAGATATTATGCTACTGAACTATTCACTGACTAGTCCAATTGCACAAGGCAAGAGGCCTGTATGTCGGTAAGGAATGCGGGTGACGGTTGTGAGAGAACATGTAACATCTAACTCTCTTGTTAAAATAAGTGAGTATAATTTATGAGTCTGCTCCCATTCTTTCTTCTGCTCTTTCCTTTGGGGAAAAATAGACAGAATACAGGAACCCTTGGGAATTTAAGTTGAAATTTTACCTGAGGCTCACTGGGGAGAAATTAGGCCCAAGTGCATTTCTTAGAGTGTGAGTGATAAACTGTGTGACCATAGAAAGGTTTAAAATCCTTACAAGCTAAGTGGAAAATTTAATGCATGCAATTGCATGAAGCCTGAAAATGCCCAGAAAATGGAATAAATAAAAAGAGATTTACAAATAGTTTCTCCGGTGATCAGAAGCCTGATTGAAAGAGACTGCCTTTTCACTTTTTGCACACCAGATTCCTCCTACTGACAAAGTGACGACCCGTGTTAGACCAAACGAAGAACGATCCCGTGATGCTCCCACGTGGCCACAAGGAGAGGTGAGGAAGGCTGAGGGCTGCTGCCTCCCTTTCAGTTTCGCTGCAGAGTGAGAACTGCTGCTTCAGACCTCAGCCAGGAGACTTCCTTTACGACTTTTAGTTTCACTGTTGTCGTCATTCCAAAAGGAAGGCACATTTTAGTTCTGATCTGCAAGAGACAAGTGCCCGCGCGCTTGGACCAGGTTCCCTGTGAGCTCTCCAGCCAGGAGTGCGATCACACTGAATCAAATCAGTGCAACAACAGGAAAACGTGTGCTGGAGAGGATGATTACGTCTCCTTTTCTCTTTCTAATATTTAATTATTTGAGCTTTTTAAGTGTTCTAAACATGCAGGCTTCACTTTAACAAGTTACATGTGAGCCAGTCTTCTAACAATTCGTTTGAAACGCTGTGTGAAATTGCCTTGATACTAGAAAAGAAAAGTCCTGTATATTTAGAGGTACAATATGTATTTTTATCAAAGTATGAAATAATACAGATATGTGCCCGGCCGGGCGTGGCTCAGCGGTTGAGCGTCGACCTAGGATCCAGGCGATCCGGGTTCGATTCCCGGTCAGGGCACATGCCTGGTTGAGGGCTTGATCAATGACTCTCTCATCATCGATGTTTCTGTCTCTCTCTCCCTCTCCTTTCCTCTCTCTGAAATCAATAAAGATATATTTAAAAAAAAAAGAAATAATACAGATATGTGAATTATGGCGTCTTATTGTGTAAAATATGTCTTTTTAAGTATGTTATTCCATAATCCTGCACTTTTGGTGGGGGCCATGAAACTGAAAAACCATAAAGGCAGCAAAAATGTTTGAACAACCAGGCCCGAAGAAAATGAAACGAAGGAAGAAACAGAGAGAGAGACAGAGAGGCAAGGAGAGAGAGAGGCTGAGACAGAGAGAGGCAGAGAGAAAGCAAGAGGGAAAAGGCAAACGACTTAAGCACTGCAGTCAAGGATTTTGAAAAGTAAATAATAGCAGAGGAATGATACAATTAACTGAGAAAGAAATAGAAAATACATTTGAAACAAATGTAGTAATAATATGTAAGTCCAAATGCGGTTTATTTCACAAACAATAAAATCTAGTCCAACCAGGGAGAGATACGGAGTAAAGTAGACACGAAAGATTAGCAAGGGCATGGAAAAAAATCAAAGGTACAGAGGAAATGAAATAAATTAAAGAATTCATTCGTTTCTTCACATCAATAGAAAGCTGAAAATAATAAATGGGTCTGGGAAAGTGCAAACAGTTAAAATCAACACATAAAGTCACAGGAAACAAAAACAGACCAGTTGAGTGAGAGAAACCGAGCATGTTCAAAAACTAACCAGCCGCCTCCTCACCATGGCATCTCTAAAATCCTGCAAAGGCCAAGAACCAGAGGTTACTGAAGGTGAGTGTTATCAATATTTCAAGGAATTGATCATGCTGGTGCTATTTAAACTTGTCTGGAGCACTGAGAGCAAAGGAAAAGTCAAAACTATTTTAAAAAATCAAACATATCCTTGATTTCAAACCCAGACACATAAGTACAAAGAAAGAAAACTCATTTAAAAATATTGATTTAAGTCTCAAATAAAATAGGCTCCAGCAAAAAACTAAATTAGAAAGTACTGTAGAAAAGTGGAGTTTTTTCCAAAATAAAGACTGACTTAATATTAAGAAATATATGTATATAATATGGTATAAAACATATGCTAGTATAAAAACATGCAACATGATTAAAAAATCTGGTATAAAATGTATTAGTGTAAATACACAAGGAAAGTATATATGTGCATAAAATATCTTTGTTAAGAAAGAGTCAAGATTATCCTTATACAAAGATGATGATATTGTATGGTTGCTTAGTTAAGTAGTTACATTTAAAATCTATTAGAAATTCTAAATAAGTGCATCAGTACAAGTACAAAACTAATACATACAGCTTTTATATTTACAAACAACAGCCTCGTGGAAACAGAGATTTCATTTACACTGGTAAATGCATGCAAATAAATTGTAGAAAAAAATGAATAAGAAAGGTCCAGGACCTAGAGGAAGACACTGTACATACCCACCAGTTGTTCATTACTGTTCATTACCTACCTCTAAACCTACGGGCTGAAAGCGACACTAACTTTCCCTCACATGACTTGGCTGGCAGTGCAGGCTGTCCTCAGACGGAGCCGCTCAGCTCGGCTCCAGGCGGTGATAGGGCCTTTACTGTGCCCGCAGGGAGTCTCGTATCTTCTAAGAAGCTTATGCACATGGTCACAGCAGGTCCTAAAAGGATGAGGATAAGCCACAGGTTATTTTAATTCTTACCTGAAATTTTGTAAAGACCCACTGAGAACCCGAGAGTTAGTTTAAAGTTTGTTTTAAGCTGCAATCATTAGAGATTCAACGGATGCGGAAGGAGGTCTCAGAGCTTCCCTTATCCAACTAAAAGCTGAAACTTCTAGGGAATGAGGATTGCCATCAGTTCCCTCTTTGGGGAGGGTAGTATTCCCAGGAGAGGGCTCTAAAGTAAACCCACTAAACTTTCCCTCTCTGGGGCGTTTCAAGGCCCTAAAAAAGGCCACTCAGACCTCCATAGACAAACATTACTATAAGTTTCTTATCTCCCAGTACTTCTAAGAAAACATTTGTCTTTCCTAAAGAAACCTATCTGTTCTTCCCATAGACACCATCTCTTCCATGTCTCTTTTCCCAGCTAAGTTAGTTATATAAGCCTTTAATTTTAATCATTTAGCAAGCTAGCTACTTCTTTTGTGTTTCTCCCTGACAGGCTCATGGCACAAGGCCAGCCTGGATTCAAGGGTTCAGAGAAATAGATTTCATCGTTGATGGGAGGAACTACACAGAATTTGTGACCACTTTTGATTTACTATATTTACAAAGGGAGATGAAATAAGTTACCTAAATACCTTGTACTTGGTCAATAAGAATAAATGTTGTAACCATTTCAACTCTTTCAAAATCAACCAGAGTTGTAACCATTTCAACTCTTTCAAAGTTAAAGGGATTGAAAAAATGTTGGCCTGGCTGGGCGTGGTTCAGCGGTTGAGCATCAACCTAGGGTCCAGGCGATCAGCGTTCAATTCCCAGTCAGGGCACATGCCTGGGTTGCGGGCTCGATTAATGACTTTCTCATCATTGATGTTTCTCTCTCTCTCTCTCCCTCTCCTTTCCTCTCTCTGAAATCAATAAAGATATATTTAAAAAATAATAATAATAATAAAATAAAATGTTGGCTGATTATTTTTTCTTTAACACTTAACAAGTTAATGCTAAACCTCATATGTAAAAATGCTAAACCTCATATGTAAGAGCAGGCATACATAGTAGTTATAAAATTAATAAGGGTAATAAATAATGATAAAATAATTTTAATTAATAGTAATATTTCTACATACATTAAAACATTATAGAACAGTAATAGAAACACTTGATGCTGGCACAGAAGTCATCAGATAGATAAGTAAACATATCATAAATCTATCATTTAAAAACCATAAAAAAGCTATGAATTATTCACTGAATGGTAATTGAACAATTGGTAAACAAAGTAAAAATAAAATAATACTAGATTGCTATACAATGATTTATACCACTCTCCCCTAAGAAAAATAAAGCTAGAGTACAATACAAAGAAATATATTTTATTATCTTAGAGAAGAAAAGGTTTTTCTAAATAAAAAAGAAAATTCCAGAATTCATAAATTTTATAAATTTTTATTATGTAAAATTAAAAATGTATACATATAAAAAGGATACCAGAAGTCAAAATAGTAAATAAAGGTATTGAGAAACACAAAAAAAGCAATTAAGAACTAATAATAAGAAAGATGTCAGAAGCTCACTAGGAAAGAGAAGAGGCAAAGGATATGAGTAGGGAGTGTGATCGATAATTTTATGTGTGAATTTGAGAGATGCTCAGATAGCGGCTAAAACCTAGGTTCTGGGGGTGTCTGTGAGGGTGTTTCTGGGAGAGATTAGAGTTTGATTCAGGAGACTGAGTCTAGAGGCCGGCCCTCTTCCCTGTGGGCGAGCCCCATCCAGCCCAGGCCACTGAGGGCACCGGGAAGCAAAGGGCAAAGGAAAAGTTCATTGCGCCTCTCTTCTTGGTGTGGGCTGTTCATTGTCTCCTGCCCTCAGACCTCAGAGCTCCTGGTTCGCCAGCCTCTGGGCTCCTGGACTTCAACTAGCAGCCCCCGGTTCTCAGGCCTTTGGAATAGGATTGAATCATACCATTGGCTTTTCTGGGTTTCCAGCCCGCAGGTGGCTAACTGTGGGATTTCTCAGCCTTCGTAACTATGTAAACCAATTCTAATAATAAATAGTCTCTCCTTCTCTCTCTCTCTCCTTACACATATGGTTCATTCTATTTCTCAGGAAAACCAAGGAGTTAAAAAATTTAAGATCAAATGCATAAACCAATGAAACAATTCACTCATAATTAGAATAAACTGACTCATAAATAAAATAAAACAAGTTATAAGCTCATATCACACTATATCAGCATTTAAAAAAAAATTATAATATATGATATTGCCAAGCATTATGAAGAAATAAGTTTAACACTTACTAACTTTTAGTAGGAGGGCAAGTTAGTGAAAGCAATTTTGCAACAGTTAACACAAAATGTAAATATACATACTCTTTGTTCGGCTATAATGTTTTGACTTCCAACTTAAACAGAATCAGGCAAAGAGAAGGGTCTATTAGGTCAGGTTCTCAAAATATCCTGGAGAGAGACTAGCTAGACTCAGACCCAAATGATACAATTAAGATACAGTGCCCCTGGTTTCTTTGCTCTGATTTTCTTTTGTGACCCTTCAGACAGATTTTCTTCATAAGGACAAATCGATTTAAACACATTATTGCACAGAGACGTTTTTACAGGTTAGCGGAGCCTTGTGTAAGAGGATGTTTACTGTAGCCTTGTGTTATATGGAAAATCTAAGCATGTGTGTGTATGTGTGTGTGTGTGCACATCCCATTATTAAAGGCTAGGTTAAACAAATGGGAAAATTCATATAACAGAATAAGTAATTTAAAAAGAAAAAAATAGGTTGATCTACCTATGCCAAAATGTAAATTTTCACCACAGCATTGTTTTAAACATAAAGTTTTATTGCTGTGTGTACAGTTGGCTTTCATTGGCCATTATTTAAAACAGTAAATAGATATATTTATATGAAAAAGTTTGTTAGAAATATAGACAACTCCTAAGATTATAGGCTCTTAAGAAATGGAGACATGGTTCTTGCTGGGTGGTAGTTTATACCTAATTGTAGGATCTTTTGTGTTTGAAATATTTTAAAAAATAAAACAATAGGGCAATTTTATTAAAAACCACTAACTCTGCTCAGAAATACTTTACATTTTACTATTGGAAGGGCCAGATAAATAAATGTTCTTATAGGGGAGCTAGGGATGTTCTTAATAAAATGCAACTTTTAAGCTGTAGTTTAAGGAATGAATACGTTTTGAGCTCAGATTAGTAGAGGGACATGACATCAAACTCATGCCGTTAAAGTGAATTACTCAATCTGTAACTGGCATAACATGTTTTTATTGTGTATTTAGGCAAATTTAGAAAATTTGCAAAAAATAATTAAAGAAAAACATTATTTTATATGTACTTCCAAAGAACATAATTTGTACATAATTCTAATCAGTCAGACTTTTTTTAGACATCCAACTTAAGCAGAATTAAGCAATGAGAGGGATTGATTAGCTCATGTTCTGAAAATGTCTTGGAGATAGACTAGCTAAGCCCAGGACACAAACAACACAATTAGGATAAATACACCCTTTATCTCCTAGCTCTGCTTGTTTTGCCTTAAATTCAGATGGACTTTCTCCACAAGGTAGAATCCAACAGTTCCAAAATATATGTTGATGATGTTTCGGGCTTCTCTGAGACAAATGTTAAAGCTAGTCAATTCCTTTTGTTTCACTGCAAAGGCGACTGGTCTACTGAATTCAGGACAGCGTAAGTTCGGGAACAGGCACTCAGATCCTATTGCACAGGAAGACAACACGGCCGGGAGGAAGGAGCGCCCCTGGCATTGAGTTTGTAGCCTGGCTCTGTCCATATTGTTCTGTGATTCCCAACAAACATGGTCTTTCTTTTTCTTTTCTTGTTTTAAGTTTCTTTATCTTTATTGTTGAAAATATTACAGATGTCCCCTTTTTACCCCCATTGATCCCCTCCACCCTGCATCCATCCCACTCCCAGGCCTTCCCCAGATCAGTGTCTGTGTCCATGGGTTATGCTTATAAACATATAAGTTCTTTGATAAATCTCTCCCCATGCCCCCCCACACACACCTTCCCTCTGAGATCCCTCAGTCTGCTCCATGCTTCTATGTCTCTGGATCTATTTTGTTCATCAGTTTATTTTGTTTATTATATTCCACATATAAGTGAGATCATCTGGTCCTTGTCTTTCTCTGACGGGCTTATTTCACTTAGCATAATACTTTCTAGTTCCTTCCGTGCTGTCCCAAAGGTTAAAAGATCTTTCTTTTTTACAGCTGCGTAGTATTCCACTGTGTAAATGTCCCATAGCTTTTTTATCTACTCATCTACTGATGGGCACTCGGGCTGTTTCCAGATCTTAGCTATTGGAAATTGCGCTGCTATGAACATAGGGGTGCATAAGTTCTTTGTGATTGGTGCTTCGGGTTTCTATGGAGTTTCCTCAAAAGAGTACAAATTGAACTGCCATTTGACCCGCCATTTGACCCATGGTCTTTCTTTTGATCTCAGGTTCCTTCCATTTGTATAAAATGGATACAGGATATGTATTGCCAGGGTTGTTTGGAGAGTTCAAGGGTAAATACAGCCCTGTTCGCATAATGACATTTAGTTCAATGGTGGACTATATAAGATACTGGGACCCTAAGATTATAATGGAGCTGAAAAATTCCTGTCTCCTAGTGATGTCATAGCTGATATAATGCCATAGCACAGAGGTTGAAAATAACCAGCAAGGCTGTGGCTGAGATGCCAAACAACTTCAGTCTGGTTGTAGATAAAGATGACATTGAAGAGCTCCAAGAGATGGTTCTGAGGAACTGACTCATGAGAATTTATTGGACCTCTAACAGGAACACAAACTGAAAAGGAACCAAGAAAAAGGGAAACTGTAGGGACACCCCTTCTCCCTCCCCAGGGAAATACATAGTGAAAGGTTTAGCAGAAGCTTTGGCAGCCCTCAATAAGCTCCTTAAAAGTTTGAAAACATGACATTAACCAAAGGACATACATGCATGTACGCATAGCCCATGGACACAGACAATAGTGTGGTGAAGGCCTGGGCTGGAGTGGAGGCTGGGTGGAGAGAGCAAAGGCAAGGAAAATGGGGAACAACTGTAATACTGTCAACAACAAACAACAAAATTGAAAGAGAAAGGAAAAAAAATGTTTGAAAACATGGACCCCAACACCAAGCGATTTTCCTTAATAGAGAGGATTGTTCATGTTGCAATATCTGCTTATAAGCAAATTTACGATAAAAAAAAGAAACGAACCAAGCAAACCACCACAGACATATTCCTGAAAAGAGTGACACCTCCTCAAGAAGACCCTGGGGCAGGACCTTCAGGGGTGTTCCAGAATAAGGCAATGTCATCATAGGAGATGACAGTCCCATGCCTCTTCTTGTCAATGGAGATCTTCTAGTGGGACATATGTGGAGTGGAAGACAGTGATCCTGATGGATCCTGACCCTGTGTCAGCCTAGGCTAATGTGTGTGCTTGTGTCTTATATTTTAACAAAACAGGTTAAAAAGAAAAATCATATACAAAGAATGAGAATGTAAAGAAAGAAAACATTTTTGTACAGCTGTGCAATGTGTTTGTGTTGTATGATGTGTGATTAGAAAAGAGTTAAAAAGTTTAAAAAATTAAAGTTTAAAAGTAAAACAGTTACACTAAGCTAAAGTTAAAAAAAAATTAAGATAAATTTAGTGTGGCTTAAGTATACAATATATATAAAGCCTACAAGAGTGCCCAGTAATGTCCTAGGTCTTCCCATTCACTCACTGACTCACCCAGAGCAACTTCCAGTCCTGCAGGCTCCTTTCCTGGTAAGTGTCCTATACAGATGTGCCAGTTATATTTTTACTGCATTTTTACTATACCTCTTCTATATTTAGATAGACACATCCTTACCATCGTGTTACAGCTGCCTACAGTGTTCAGTACAGTAGCATGCTGGACTGGCCGTGGCCTAGGAGCAATAGGCTAGCCCACACAGCTAGGTATGCACCAGGCTGTACCACCTCGGTCTGTGCGAGTGCATCCTGTGATGGCCACATAAAGATGAATTCCCTACGGATCCATTCCTCAGAAGGCACCCCTGTCCTCAAGCGACACATGACCGTATGAAGGACTCACCATGTCTGTGGAATCACAGCCTTGGTTTAATATAGGATATTTTCCTTTCCCCCTCCCTTGCAGATGCTTAGTTCCTGCTCTTTACAGCCCCTGCTATTCGAAACTTTTTCTCAGCTTGAGTGCTTGCACACATGCTCAGTTTCCATTTTCTAACCTAGCCGTTGCCTTTATCCGAAATACTTCTGGATTCTTACTTCTCAGAACGAAAGTTCCTGCCACACCAGGCAGCTTCACAGTGGGCAGCCTCTGCCCTGAACGAAGAATCCTGGAGGCCAGGCCCCTGGGTGCCTGAGGGGGGGAGCTCCTGCAGAGGTTAGCAGTAGTGTCAGGTGAGAACTGCCCTCACCCCTGATTGAATGGGCAGACCGTTCTCGGACTTAATAACGGAGTTTGTAAATGACCTGGGATAACCATGATCCCCAAAGCCTTAGGAGATGGACCTGGTGAATGTCCTACTAGTGAGTAGATACAAAAGATCCCTAATCGGCGTTATCTAGCCAGAAAAGCCCAGATCTCAAAACAGAGAGAAGCTGGCCACAGTCGAAGGGGAAAGAAGTCAGGATTCACCACAAAACCCTCTGGATACCCAAACGATTATTTCAACAAGACCAACTCTAAAATGTATTTTAATTAAATGCTGAGAACCTAAACCAACATACATTTTGTTCTTGTGCTAAACTATCCTAGGAGGGAAAGTATTTTCTCACTTTTCTGCTAAATAATACTGGACATGGCAAAAAACAAAACAAAACAAAAAACACACCAAAAAAACAACTAAGTTGCTTGCTCCAGGAAATATATGGTTGTATATGTCAACTACAGAATTTACTTTTTAAAATGAACAGTTTTCCCATCAAGGCTTGCTTTCAAACCCTCACTTCACTTTACAGTGTTATAATCCAAAATTTTTCAAAACCCTCACTTCACTTTACAGTGTTACAGTGCCCATCAATCCAAAATTTTAGGTTGTATATGTTCTCCGCCTCATCTCAACCAAGTCCTCACTTTGTGAGGCTTCCCTTAAAATCACCCAGCCTGNCTCATCTCAACCAAGTCCTCACTTTGTGAGACTTCCCTTAAAATCACCCAGCCTGGGCTATAAACCTGAAAAAGACTGGGCCCCAATTTTCCCATTTTAAGACACTGTTATAAATTGGTCAAAACAGTGTTCTCCCTGACTGCTCAGCTTTGCTTGAAAAAGCTGTTACTGGAGGTCTTAGGGGGCCGCTGAGACTCGACTACATCAATAAAGACATTTTGGAATATAGGTCAAAAGGTGCCAGATGTTAAAATCGAATGTTTTTATGTTTGCAGTTAACCTTTTGATGGCTGCTACACATCTCATCACCATCACCTAAATGATGACGCTTTTTAGAGTCACACTCATTCCGCNTCACCTAAATGATGACGCTTTTTAGAGCCACCCTCATTCCGTGGGCTTTTTCTATGTATGGCTGAGGAAGCTGACATCTAAGGATGATAAATGAACGGTCAACACTGACACATGGAATTAAGGACACAGCCAGGGCTAGAGTCACATTTCCCATCTTTCAAACTTAATTGTTTCATTCCATTAAAATTATGCAGATCTCTGAGGAACGCGATATATTTTTTATAAAGTATAAGACTTGAAATTACTCAATGAAATTCAAAATGTTGACTGAGGCACTGTAAAGATGCTACTGTCGGTAAGAATGCTACCAAAATGCAGTTCACTAATTTTAGGGATATGTGTAGAATCCTGGAGTAGAATTCTCAAACTTATCCGACAGTAAGACAGCTCAGAATTCCTGTTAAAATTATCCTGTCTATGCCTGGGCCCTCCTTGATCTACCCAACACTTTCACGAGGTGCCTGAGAGCCTCCTTTCTAAAGAGGCTGTCAGACGGTTCTTGACCTCGGGCGAGTGTGGGACATGAAGCGTTCTAGGCCAGTGGCTCACAATCCTCTCTGCACCCTCGAGTCACCTGGGAAGCATTTTTAAAAACCACTCATGCCTGCCTAGATCAAGCACATCAAATCTTTTAGCAGAGACCCAAGCAGGTATGTTTTTATATCTCCCCAGGTCATGCTAATGGGCATTTAGGACTGAGACCTAGTGTGTCAAAATAGAGCTTCTCATTTATGTACATACAAATCTTGGTAAAATGCAAATTATAATTCAACAGACCTGGGGTAAGTTCTGAAATTCTGCGTCTCTAACAACTTTCCAAGGGAGGCTGATGCTGCTATTCAGCAGACCACACGTGAGTCGCAAGAAATTGGAACAGGAATTCTCTAAGTCTGATTTCCAATCCAGCAGCATCAGCCTCGCCTGGAAAGTAGTGAAAATACAAAAGGGTGGGGTGGGGCGTCACCCCGATCCTACCCCATCAGAAACCTTGGGGTTCCAGAGATCTTGCCCTTACCACACGCCACTGTGTCCTCACACCAATAGCAGATTCACTGTCATTTACTTTACACACTGAGCTTCCACCTCTGATTTTGCTTAAGAAATTCTGAGAGCAACAATTAATAAATAAAAATCAGTATGTAGATAGATAAATGAAAGCCTCATATGCACAGAAAACTTCTGGATTTGGAATCAGAAGACCAAATTTAAAATTGCAGCTCAATGTCCTTAGTTATGTGGGCTTGGGTGAATCATGGAATCCCCAGGCTCAGATTTCTTATCTGAAAAGAAGTTAAAAGGAACACTAATATCTTCCTTGTCTACCTTACACGTTAGCTGGGAAGAACTAAGTTATTATTGTAGTTTGTGCAAACATATACTTGGTAATGATAGGTAGAGTGGGTAAAAAAGTGTAAAACTTAAACTTGGTTCCAGCGACACAGGCTTTTAACCTATTTAAAAACAAAAGTCAAGTAAACACTAAGAAAAGCAAAAAGTTGCTAAAAGAAACAAAAGAAAGGATAGCAGGGGTTACTTAAGACCTTTTTGGCGCTTTACATACAGCATTTCATTTTTCCAACATCGTAATAAATCGCAAGTGAGGAAATGGGGATTGAAAAGAAGTGAAGTGAACGGCCTTTGGGGCTACGTTAAGGGGCTGAGGTGTGAGAAGCCCTAAGTTTGGGGAATGCTCTGTTAGTAGCCCTGTGACCACTAGTTAAAACTCTGTCTCGGTATGTTTCCAATTCAATGGAGACAATATCCATCACACCAAGTGCTTAGTGTCCACACATTCAAAAAAATATGTGAAACTGCCGCAAACATGTCAAGGTTTTTAAACAATAAAACGTACTGTTACGCAAAACAGAATGTAGGAAACCTCGCAGGAAAGACTACAATAGCTTTAATATTTCACTAAACTTACTTCCATCGCTCCGACGTGAGTACAGCAAAGGCAGCGCTGACCTGCCGAGCAGACACGTCCTAAACCTTCATCTTCATGCACTTTTAACCTCACCAGTTACTCCGATGAATATTATTTATTCGCTCATCATTCGGAGGCCCCGGACCTAACCGTGGTGAAGCTGTGGGCCTGGCTCCTGCCCCTGTCCTTTTACCTGGAGGAGAGACAGGGACGAGCGCGCCGTTTCCCGCGGAGCTGTGCGGTCCCACTGCCCTTGGCGCCCCTGGAGCCGCGTTCCTGGGGAGGGCCCCGC